GGAAGGCAAAAAATGAAAAAAAAAAAAAAACCCCCCCCCCCCCCACCCTTTCAGGAAGCGTTGTAGTGAATGAGCACCGGCCTGAACCCAGACCAGCGGTGGCTCAGCAGGGAGATCCCCACCACTTCCCTGCCAGGTGCCCTGACAAAGCACTGTCACCTAAAAACTGAAAGTGTTGGGTAGCAGGAGCGACAGCCAGCCCTCCTGCCCAGAAATGGGCTCCCGGGCTTCTAGGGAAAGCCAAAAAAATGGAGAAAGACAGCAAGGAGGCTCCCCGTGGTCACCTCTGCTGGGACAAGGCTTAGGATTTGGGCTGAGACGCATGGCAGGGAGATGGTGGGACAGGGACGCCGGGCACTCTACAATCCTTTTTACAAGCCCAGACCAGCAAGTGCCACCTCTGTCGCTGGAAGGCCGTGACAAGAGCTGGGAATAGCTGCACTGCCCACACTCTCTGGCAGTTTTCCCTCCCTATTTTCTGCTGGGATGTGGAGACAAGGCATCCTGCCACCACTTTTCCAGGGTTGAACAGACTCGGTGCAAAGGGCACCAGCCGAGAGCGGGGTCAATGCCGAGCACGAGCCCCTTGTGGGTTTTCAGGCAGGTGAGGAGCATGTGGGGATGCTGCGGGGACCGAAGGGTTTTCTTTCCCGCTGTCCCCTCAAGCCAGATGTCCCTGCTCCCCTGTCCTGGCAGAGAAACCAGAAACCTCTGACCTGGGGCTGCCGGGCCAAGCACAGTCAGCAGCCCAACAGTGCATTAGCCCAGCAGCCCGCCTGCAGCCAGGGTTTCACTGCAGCCTTGCTTTTCTGCAGCCAAACCCTGGAGAAATCAGCAAGTGGGAGAAGGCAGTTCGGCAAGGGCTCAGGTCAGAACGCAGGGTGTAAGCACCACACATGCACAGAAACACAGGTAAATGCACCGACCCTCCTTGCATCAGAGGTGCAGGTGGGAGGCAGCTAGCCGAGAGGCTGCTGGCTATATTTTATACGTATATAAACATATAACCTTCCTCCTGAAACTGAAAACGTGACGACCTCTCTGAAGAGCTGCCTAGGTGAGGAGGAGCAGGGTAGGGGAGCCTTCACCCCGCACCTCGAAGCGATGCTGAGCTCTGCGCAGAAGCCTGGTCCTCGCTGCGGGCAATTAGCTTTCAGAAATCCGTCCCTGTGGGAAACGCCAGGCTCAGGGCTGTGAGAAACAGCAGGACTGGCTGCTTCTTAATTAAATATCCCTGTCGAGGGGCTCAGTGGCAATGGCAAGAGGTGCTCAGGGCTCTGCCAGATCAGGCTCTGGTCACCTGGAAGGGAAGGGCAGGCTGCCCGACACCTTGCAGGCAGCTACAGGCTCCATTTCCGAGCGGAAAACTGCACTGGTTTGTTGCAGACAATGCTACAGGCCCTTGGTTTTTACCTGCTGCTGCTAAATTGCCTCTTCCCGAAAGAGCAGACCGTTTCCCTGCAGGCTCTGCTCACGAATGGCAAAATCCATCACCTCTCCAGAGAGCTGCGCGAGTACCTGTGAACTCCCCATGACCCGCCAATACCCTCAGCGCTGGCTGGATGAGTTGAAATGGGTAAATGGATGAAAAGAATTTCTGCTCTAACTAAAAGACAGATGTATTTATCTTCCTTCACATCCTGAACTGTTGCTGGAGGATAATTTCTGTTGCCACAACACGATGCCTGCACAATGTGCCATGAGTGCTGGAATTGAGTTAGCAGGACCGGCAGAGCAACTGGCGTGTGTTCGGCCAGCTATTAGCTTATAAATCCAGCCTTAAATCTGGAGCCAGAGCTCCGATAGATCTGTCTGCACCTCTCCCACCGGCCTCTGCTCCGGTCGGCTGCCTGCCAGCACCATCGTTTGCCGATGCTAATTATTGCCCTCATTGCCGATTCACATCAGACCACTGTATGGATCCAAAAAGACAGTGTCTAGATCCATTTGAAGTCCCTATTTATTTACAGTCCCACCAAAACTGGTTATAGGCATATCAGAGGTGGGAGTTTGACAGAAAACTATATGCAATAAGAGCTGTCTTGAAAAAACCCCAGGGAGCTGAAGAAGCTCTCTGGCATTAAGAATAAAGAGATTAATGCTATGGAGCTCAGTGTGACTGTAACTGTGGCATCGCCTTAAGGGGTGGCAGGGTACAAACCCTGCAGAGCACATCCGAAAGGAGCTGTGTGGAAGATGCTTGGGATCGCTGCCTGTAAGCAGGGGCTCGCTCTGCACCCTTCCCAACACCATCTTGCACGTACGCCTGCACGCACACACACTGTACCTACACGCAACTTATTCTTCTGTACTGAAGTGCATTTACTCCATGTATTCTTCTTCTCTACTGAAGTGGATTTACTCCATTTAGGGAAATACTGGCAAGTTTTTGGCTTTACAGCATCTGTTTTGACTCCCTACAGAACCTCTCCACCCGCCTTAATTGCCCCATGAGTGAAGAGACTCAGCTGAGATGGAGAGCAACGTGTCCTCCGGGAACTGTACCAATCCCCAGATGTCCTTCCAGTCCACCCTGTACGCAACCACTTACACCATCATATTCGTCCCCGGCCTCCTGGCCAACAGCGCTGCCCTGTGGGTCTTGTGCCGCTACATCAGCAAGAAGAACAAAGCCATCATCTTCATGATCAACCTGGCCATAGCCGACCTGACTCACGTCCTCTCGCTGCCCTTACGGATGTATTACTACATAAACCACACCTGGCCATTTGGAAGTTTTCTTTGCCAGCTGTGCTTCTACCTGAAGTACCTCAACATGTACGCCAGCATTTGCTTCCTCACCTGCATCAGCATCCAGCGGTACCTCTTCCTCCTCCATCCCTTCAAAGCCAAGGACTGGAAGCAGCGGTACGACGCAAGCATCAGCATTGCCATCTGGCTCTTCGTCGGGGCGGCGTGCTTACCCCTGCTCGTATTGAGGAGCCCAGCCTTGTCCAACAGCACAGACACGTGCTTCTCGGACCTGGCGGTGAAGAAGCTGAGCCCGGGAGAATCCATTGCGCTGGTGACAGTGGCAGAGCTGTTTGGGTTTGTCATCCCCTTCGGCATCATTGCCTGCTGCACTTGGAAGATGTGGCAGTCCCTGCGGGAGGATCCCATGCAGCTGCAAAACACCAACGAGAAGCAGAAGGCTTTGCGCATGGTCTTGATGTGCGCGGCAGTCTTCTTCATCTGCTTCACCCCCTACCACATCAACTTCCCTTTCTTCATGATGGTGATAGAGAACATTATCCAGGACTGTGCCTTTCACAGAAGCACGCTCCGCTTCCACCCCATCTCCCTCTGCCTGGCGAGCCTCAACTGCTGCCTGGATCCGGTCCTCTACTACTTCACAACCTCTGAGTTCCAGGACCGGCTGCTGCACCACAGCCGTGCCGCCCTGCGGGCTCGGTTCGCGTGCTGCGGGAGCAGCTTCTCTGTCACCGAAACCGGCCACGACATTCATATGAAGAGGAGACATCTTCCACGCTTTAAGTTTTGGTCTTTTACCAAGTTCTTCGGCCGAATAAACAGCATGGAAATCCCCCCCATGCCACCCGACGAGCTTCTGCTGGAGTCCATCTCTTGAAGCGTAAGCCATTTCTCTCCATGTAGGTGCTTCTCATAGCTTGAGTGAAGATTGCCTTAAGTCTCCAAATAAGCCTTGAATTACCCTTGTGTGCAACAGATGTCAGGATCTGACCTAGAAGGACATTTTAGTGAAGAAGAAAAAAAAAAGGTTTGCTGGTTGTGTTGTCGCTGTTGGGGACTGTTTGCCTTACAATGTTCTCCATCACATTAATATTAAAATACCTGAAGCAGCCATTGCTGATGCCAGTATTTCTCCTGTGCTGAACTGCAGCCAGGTTTGGGTCCCTCTCATTTCTGTTGTTTCACTGCTTCTACATATTTGTCATTTTTGAAAATCCTTCAGAATCCTGAGTTGTAAGCGGGCGGCTCAGCCTCGGCACAGCTCGGGGAGGCAGCACCAGGGGAGTTTCAGCCCTGACCGCAGCTACCCGCAACCCATGATGACTTACAGCATCGACCGTGCTCACGTGAGGCTCCAGATCAGGACAGTTAATTATCTCCATATAAACTGAACCTCTTTCCATTTAAAAAAAAAAAAAAAAATAATCGGTCATCTGTACCTAATCTAGCCTAACCTGGACTGCAAGACTATGACTTTACCAACATATATCAAGCAAAGAGTATTAATCTATATCCTCATCAGTGTTAAAGGGGGGGGTTCGAACAAACTGGGGTCAGCTCATGCTATTGAAAAAGGCACCCAGAACTGAGCAAGGGAATCCACCTGGCTCCCAGGAGCTACAGGATGCTCAACTGATTATGGGGGGATGAATACCTGGAAGACAGACTGTGACTGGATATGCCACGAGCAAAGAGGAGGAAGGATGAAGGATCTCTCCCAGGGCACGTCTGCTTGCAGCGACCCAGGGTAAGCTGCAGAAGGGAGGACTAGCAGCTGGTGTTGCCCTCTCTTCTGTTGTTAGTAGGAGGCTTGCGTTATTTGGCATTTTGCTAAAGCCTGCGGTCACAGATCAAGAAAAAAAAAAATTTCACGCTGAGGGTGGTGAAACACTGGAAAGGGTTGCCCAGAGAGGTGAGAGATGCCCCATCCTTGGCAACATTCAAGGCCAGGCTGGATGGGGCTCTGTGCAACCTGATCTGGTTGAAGATGTCCCTGCCCGTTGCAGGGGGGATGGACTGGATGGCCTGGAAAGGTCCCTTCCATCCCAAAGCGTTCTGTGATTCTATGTTACCCGAGCCTCTCAGCTTTGCTTTAAAAACCAGAAAAAGTCCCAGCCCCCACCGGGTACTGAGAAAAGTTTACAAAACTGACCCAAGTGCATCCTTAAGGCTTCAAACGCAGGAGGAAATAAAATTATCTCAACACAAATTTTGGCATTGCGGGTATTATTTTAAGTGCTTGTAAATATTCTCATTATGCACCATGTCTGCTCTCAAAGCAACGGCACAATCTGCAAGGGGGGGACCCCAGTTTGGGGCTCAGAGAGGCCCCGTTGCCACCGCGGCCCCTCGCACAGCAGCCAGCGCAGGGACTGCAAGGTTTCCTCCTTGACAGCTAAAGCATTGGCAACTGCAATGCCAAAAAACCCTTGAGGAACTATATAAGTAAACGTAGGCAGAGGGGGTTTGGTAGAAAACAGCTTTGCCGGTAATCGGATGCACCTTTCCAACCCATGCAGCATTTCTGGGGAGCACGGAGCAGGCGGTGGCTTACCCTCACATTGCCAAGGCTCGTCTTAAAGACGAGGGGAGATCCAGACAACCTGGAGGAATTTGCTTTGGTACTCACAGCATGCCAGAGACAGGCAGCAAACAGCTGCCCTGCAGCTCTGTCCCAAATCTTCTCCTCCTCTCACACACACAAAAAAACCAACAAAAGGACACATGTTCCTTGTTTGCTTGGGGGGGAAAAAGTTTTCAGAGTGGCACAAACCCAGCAGCGTGCACAGGCAAAACAGGAAACCCAAGCAAAACCTCGTCGATGCCGTGGCTGGCAAGAGCCGGCCCCGGGCAGCCACCACAGACAGGACAGGTCACACCACCAGCACCTTAACTGGGAGCGTGGTTTTAGCCTGGGAGTGTCTTTCGGGAACGGTACAACCCTGAGTAGCTGGGGTGGACATCCAGGTAGCCCTCAATAACCACAGTTGGATATTTATAAGTCCTGCTGACTGACCACAAAGCCCCTGTTGCGGCTCTGACCTTACTGGCAGCGCCAGCTCCAGGTTTCCCAGTAGCACCAGTTACCAGTGGGACTTTGCCAGTTTGTTTTCAGATTGCACAGCTTTTCTATGATGTCTGCAATGCAGTTTGCCCCTTCCAAAAAGAAAAAAAAAAAAACAGGAAAGCAAGCAAAACAAAAACTCTTCCTAACCTGTCACAGAGAGACACAGCAGCAGCCCTTACTCGGGCTGCCCCTGCCGCCCCTTGGGCTTGCCTGCACCGCAGGTCGCATCGGAAATAGAACAGAAAAATCCCTTTCTGGGTTACACGCACAGGATAGCAAGGATTTTGCTGGGTTTTACCCAAACCCAACCCTGAGGAAATATCCCTTTCCAGTGCAAACCAGTGCTTCCTGCCCTTTGGAGGCCACGAGATGCCTGCCAGCCCTCCTGTTTTATCGCAGCCCACCAAGACCCGCTGCCACAAACACCCTGGCTGGGCACCGGCGCCCAAGCTGCCGGGATTTGGGGTCAGAAAGAGCTCTGCTGCCTGGATGCAGCAGCGAGGGGGGGCCAGACGGACAGGGCGCTGCTGGTCCCCAGTGCAGAGATGCAGGAGCAGGGGGTTTCACCAGTGGCAGCTCAGGTACCCTGCAGGGCAGCAGGTCAGCGTGGGCTGGGGGATGCCTGGCTTCGTGGTGCTCCTAAGAAGGTTTCGGTAAAAAGCTGCCACGTGGAGGATTTCCTTTGCCGAGGCCAAGGTGTGAGCTAAGGTCTTACAAGGGAAAAGCTCAAGGTTGAAGAGAAGGGAGAGCAAGGCACTGGGAACTGACGTGTGGGGGAAAGAGGACAGGGTGAATTAAGAGCTTTTCAGGATTTCTTTCTCAAAGCCATTACCTGTGGGTGTTAAACCTTTTATTCACATGACAAAACCAGGCAGTAATAACCCCAGTGCTGCGCTTTAGCCTCATTCATTTTCCAGGTAATGCTCTTGCAAGTGGGTCTGGTGGCAACAGCACTGAGAGCACGTCCCTTACCCGGGGCACTCTCGTCCCCACGTACCACCCTCGGCTATTCGGACGGACGGACGCGTGGCGCAATGCTCTGGCCTCAGCCAGCCCGAGAGCTCAGACTGATAAGCCACTGGTGACGATTTTGGCGGTGATAGTTTCCTCCCCAGCAAGGCGTGCTGGCAGGAGGGCTGCCGAAATGCCCTCACGGGAAGGGTGAGAGGCCACAGCAGCAGAGCGGGCGGCTCAGCCGGACCCCGACAGCACCGACAGCAACGGCACATCCTGAGCTTTTCACGTGCAATTAGTTATTCTATACGGCTTAATCCTTTACACCTGGCTTTGACTAGAACTGCTTAGTTGCATTTATGTATGTGTGTTCATCCATACCCACATACACCCCTGCACGCCGACTGCACTTACATATACCTAAAATTACACAGTACTTAGGAATATCCAAGAAGACGTCTCTTGTGCACAGCGCTTTCTAGGGCACCGCAAGGAAGGAGGAAAGGCTGCTTGTCTCTTTGCTATAAATACCTTTTTGCTCCATCCATGACCGCCTGCTTCCAGTCCAGCCTCAGCAAAGTGACTTTGCCTCTGGAAAACCACTCAGCCTCAGCAGAGCTCGCACCACCTACCCGGTAGCGAGACTCAGACGGATGATTTTTGGCACAGCACTAACGGCCACCAGCGCTGGCAACGAGCTGCTTCTCCACCCACTCACCTCGCGCCGAAGAGAGGGGAAAGCGCTGCGCCTGGCAAAGGAACAGACACAACAACTTCAACTCCGAGTGCAACCTAAACGCACAGAAAGCAAATTTTGCTGCTTTAAACCAAGCCGAGCCAGTTTTCCAGAGAGTCATGATTTCATCAGACCCGAATCCAATTTTTTGATTCACAGGCTCAGCCAGCAACACCCTGCGAAGCCCAAGTCACTGGTGTTCAATGGGACAGCACCATTTGAGAGGCCCGGGGCTGTCCGTCAGTCCCTCGTGCGCTGCAGGGTCCTGTTCACAGCACAAGGGAACGGGTTTTGGGAACTCTGCATCGATGCCACAGCCACGTTCAGGGCTGTAAGGGTTAGCTCTCCTCCGAGAAACAGTCAAAGCCTCAACCTTGCGGCGGTCGGCGAGTCCTTTCCAGCTGCTCCTGCTTCTCTTAACAGGGGATTTTTTGCTTTTTTAAAGAAAATTTCCCTGCTGTAGGCGGATAGGGCAGGCACTGAGGCTGGGGAGGAAAATCCAGAACTTTTTAGCCCCCGGGCTGGTGAAAACAGCACGGCTGCATCCCTGGCTCCACGCAAGCCCCGCTGATGCTGGGAGCTGCGGGCGAGAGCCTGGCACAGCCGCGGGGCCAGGGCACACATGCTCCTGCCCGGTGCACATCCCTCCCCGGGCTCCTCCTGGGCCATCACCAAGCAAAACATGACCAGCCATGCGGAGAGAAGACAGACATGCAACCCATTCTCAGGAATTATTGCCATTAAAGACTGTCAGTGCAGACCAGAAAGACCTTGGCTGTTTCTGTCTGAGGATCTCCTACAAGGTCATGAAGCACAAGCTTAGATGAACTGAAAATTTACAGTTTTATCTTATAAAAATTGGAAGTATAAGATAAAATATAAGTAATAAGAGAAAAATATAAGTATTAGGTAAAAACTTATGTTATACTGTCAAATAATTGAGTTGTGATTTGATGCCCAGCTCCAAGTTCTCCTGATTTTCGGTGGCCTCAACTACAGCAGGCTTGGGGAGGGTCCGGCCAGCGCTGCCGCCGTGCGCCCAGGGACAGCCCGGCTCGGAGGCTGGCACCCGGCTGCCGGTAAAGGCACCCTCGGGTTCCCACCCACGCGCCCCGAGAAG